AAAAGTGTCAAGCAGATCTGCTTGACTGGTTCATAGACCACTTCAAAGTCGACATCGGTGTCATTTTTCCCACTTCTTGATTAAGATAGAGAGTTTGGCCGCTTTATCCCTAACACGGGTATCTGGGGTTTGTGACAGAGGTGGTAGCAAGTCAGTATTTGTTAGTCCAAGTCAAGTCACTTGTAAATTATTTATTGTCATTTGGTCCAGTCACAATTCAAGTCGCAAATTAGCTTGGTCCATAAAAAAGCAAGCCACATGTCTTTTCCTTCAAGTCTACAAGGTAAGTTGCGCCTTATTTCATCTCACTGTAAAAAGTAAACAGGGCCTGCCATCAACTGAAGACTTATAATTTGAGACAGATGAGTTTAACGCGCTTGAGTTACAATTACATGTACGCACGTACTGTTTATTATGCCAAAACAATTTCCATGTGTACCACTACACTCTTACAGTAGATGTACATGTCCAGTAATTCTTTAAGAACTGTCAAGTGATACCAAATGTCTGCCACTGTGTCCACCCGGTTAGATTATAGCTGACTGCCAGCAATTAGACCAAGGGCCTAGTTTCAATTCATGAAATTTTCCTTTTATGGTGTAATTATTTTCAAGCCACAGCCAAGTGATCAGTCTTAGCCTTAGGCACAGACGACCGATGTGGAAGTCCAAAGGAAGTCTTATGCCAATTATTTTAAGACCACAATTGGTGTAAGAAGATAAGGCTGAAGGTAATACCCAGGTGTGGGGCTCTCTGCAAGCTTGCTTGTAGTTTCGTGAATCTTTCGATGTTTCTCCCCCCCCCTATAGAATGTTGTCTAGCTGATTTTGGCTTTAACTCCGAAGTACATTTTAGTATTTCCTAGTCAATTTCTCTGTGTAATGTTGTGCTGTATGTAGCGTGCTAGTGATTGTCGTGACAGTCTTGTCTGATATCCGAAGGTCATTCGTTTTGGCAAGGAAGTCATCTGGTTGGAGTTTCGTCGTTTTCTGTTTATAACTTTCAATGTTGTATAGTGATCAGTTTGTCGTATAGTATTAGTAAGGTTTTTATTATGTAGCTATCAACTATTGACACTTAAAGTTTGTATTTGTAATTTACATTTGTTTTACGTGTGCAAAAAGGCCAAAGTAATTCTCTTTAATGGGATAATAAAGTTATATTGAATTGAACTGAATTGAACGTGGGGCCGAGTTGATTCTGCTGTTGCTGACAACAAATTTTGCTGTAGTTCCACATATATTTCTACTGATTATCGTCTGGAATTTCCTTTCACAGGTAAAGTCGTTCTGAAAGGTGTGTAGCTGGATTTGACTGGCCTGTAGTCTTTGTGGTTTATTCGGTCTGTGCTGTGGTGTCTTGTGATGGTGTTCGTTTATGATGTTAACGTCTGCTCTACGCTCTGGGTCAATGCATAGACCTGAAGGAGAAAATACAACGGACTGCCAACTCCAGCGGGTGCACCGAGCATTGCGCGTAAACATGTTCCGTCAGCCGGAAGCTCTGGAGTTGCCGGCACAGGAAACTTCCGATTGACCTTTGTAGCGTTGTCCACATGCCATGAACGATAGCGACAGACGCTGCGCTCGTAATTTTGCCTCGGAACTTTTCTTTTTCGTGGAAAAACAATTGCAAAGTGGACGAGATAGACAACATACAAGTGTGTTATGACATTGTGATAATTATAAGTATACTAACGTGAGCATTAATAACAATTAGTGAGCCTTTAGACAGGGAAAGCTGTGTATGTATTCTTTTCTCATGCACAATCGGCAAACATGATCGATTACTCTCAGCCCCACCGACACTACCAGGTCTGGTTGGCTTGACCCAGCAAAACCTTTTTTCTGACTCGTAAAGCAATTTTTAGAGTTATAAATACCCATCTGGTGGGGTTGTCGGATTTTTCAAGGGGAAAAAATAATAAATGTTTTCCCGTTCATATTCAAGTCTTTTAAAAATATTTTCAATGCTAGGGCTATGAGCAAATTTGTGTTATTCTACAAGATTTAAGTTTTAAGGGACATCGTGTTATATTAGAAAAATGAGGGGGAAACATGAAGGCCCATGACATAATTTCCCCAATGACTTCGTACATGTACATGCCATACTTCATAACTGTATGTAAAACTAATAGGATCTTTATAGGCTGATTTTATGCTGTCAGAATTGTTTGAGGCAAAAAAGTGACAACATGCCTCGGCTTGGTAAATTTTCAGGCAGAATATTAATGACGGGTTTCTGGCTTCCCTTGGTCAGAGGAACAAGCAAAACTGCTAAACATTACTCAAATTGGTTTGTAAACGACCAAATCCCCCAAAATTCTGAATTACAAAATGTAAATAAACAGATTTACAATGTACACATACAAACATTATATTTTTTTTCAAGCACCCCATTTATTATATAATAGTTTCAAAATTGTCTCTATCAATTTTGTCAAATAAAACTGAGGTTTCATTAAAACATCCTGTAAGACGCCTTTCTTTATTAGTTGATATTGTCCATATTCACGACAGGCTTTTATGTAGGTGGCGTAACTGAGGGCAGTGGTATCCCCAAAGATATGGAATAGAGCAGAGTTCTTAAAGATTCTGCAGGTACTCATGTACATCATTATGTGACACATTTGAAAGGTGTAATGTGCACTAGTCACCATGATACTTGACCTTTGGACTCTGGCACTAATATTAATGATTAAAGAACGCCTCCTAAAATCTTCACTCTTTAAAATCAAGTACTTCAGTTTTCAAGGAGGTAAGATGAAACGAATGAGGAAATTGCAATATAAAGTAAGCTTGTGATTTCTTTCCTGCAACATAACTTTATTATCAATAAATATTGCTTCCCCGCATATACGGTTAAAGCATGTGGCCTGCTAAAGTTTTATGCTCCTTATGGGTGTTGCAAGTGCTGAAAAGATCAATCAGTGTACTCCTTGCAGTCTGCTGTCAGTAGCTGTTGTGTCCTCAACATTGTGGCGCCCCTTCGTACATCGTTCAAGTCCATGTGAGCCACCAAGTTAGCGGATGGTGTAGTTGATGCTGGCACAACCTAAAGGAGTGGGATTCAACAAAGTATGAGTGAATAAAAGCCCGCTTGAACGGGGTTTAAACCCAACGTTCTTTTATCACATTCAAGAATGTATTGCACTTGCATTGTTTTTTTTTTTTTCATTTCAAATGCCAGTTTTGAAGGTGTGACAACATTCTGAACTGTTACAATCCAAGGATCACCAAAAGACCATATTCCAATTAGTGTGAAGGAACGTACATTGGTCATTCACAAGATGTTCATTAACAGTAACATTTTATTCATAATTTACAGAAAAATATTAAACTATGCAAAAATGGTTTCATAACTACCCTTAAAAATAAATAAAAACTAAAGGGGTTCAGATCTGCTTGGTTGGATAGGCCCAATTTGATGACATGAACCTAAGATCTGGCATCTGGCCGAGAATTACTTTTGAACAAGAGTTAAAATCTGACTTTTTGCTTTTGAATGGTTATAGCATGCATAAAATTCTGGTTACTACTCAACAAACATTTACAGAGGGGTTAACATGAGGGGTTTTAATACATGTGAACATCAACAGAAAAGCATGCATTGCATTGCAATGTGGATTAAACATCCATACATGGAGCCAGACGCAAGAAAATGCTTGAAATAGAAAAAAATGAAACTTGTCAAAATTGCAATTTAAGAAATCAAATTTCAAATATTTAACACAGGAAAACTCAAGTCAACGACCAACTCAAACAACCATTTCAATGAACTTACCAGGACCAGAGTGATTAACTTATGATGCGGGCAGAAATTCAGTGGGTAGGCTAAGTTGGCACCTGCACATACCACAAAATGAAATATAAGGAGAATTACTGTGAAGTGAAAAAGAATACTGGACCAAACCACAAGCAAACCAACTCATTTTTTCTTATTATTTTTATTTTTAGTTTTTATAATGTTGATATTATCACCCCACTCTTTGGCACTATTTCTACATGTTTGTGATAAGCTGACGATATTTCAACTAAGATGAAGGAGAAAAAGACTTTGGTATTAAAACCCTAATGTACCGATAGTCACATTTTATGAACTCACCTATCATGCCTACTATAAAACAATGTTATCATCAGATCTTGACGATTCCTAACTAGGCCTACATGGTGTTGCCTCCATTTTCGTCTTTTCGCTGTTTTTGGGCTGGATCTGGCCTCTTCGGTATACCATAGAAACTCAACCCGCCTATTTTTGTCTTTGGGCGCTGCTGTCAGCAACTGCACAATCAGTACCTAAAACTTTATGCCATTTTGAGGAGGAAATATCAACATCTTATCGACGCAGCACGATCATGTATACGAACGACAGTAAAACAGAAGTTGTCAGTGCCGGTAACTTCGGCACTTCCGGTTGACGCAAGATCGACGTGCGCCCGCTGGAGTTGGCAGTCCCTTGTATTTTCTCTTTCAGGTCTACGGTCAATGCGTACATCATCGTGGTCAACAAGTGACTGCGCTGCCAACATGGATGCCTTTTGCGTTTGTTTTAGCTGTATTAAGGCGACTATTTAAATCTCGTCGCCAGACGTCATTTACTTGTTTTCATGCTCGTCTTTTGATTTGATTGGGGGGTGACTGATTGCTTTGTTCGCGTGGTCGATCAGCTTGGCAAGCGGAAAAGCGGTTTTATTTCCGGGGTTTGTTGAAAGTCTTGCCGTAGGCTGGGCGTTTTTACTCTGCGGTGGTTGTCGGTCAGGCCACAGTGAGCACACGGTTGTGATCTATACGGAATTGTAACTTCCATATTGTCCTTCAGTTGATTCCTTCTTGTATTGTGGCTAATGAAATGATGGTTCACTCAACCTAATATCAGGGCATCTTAGAGAGAGGAATACATTCCATTTGTTCTTCCTACAACCCAATTTGAACAGACGTTTCACTAAATATCGCCACATCGACGTCACTACTGCCACAAAGGCTCCCCACCCCCTGGTTGTCCCACATTTTAACCTAACTACTCTGAGACTGCAATCAGTCAGATGGGCTGACATGCAGGGAAGGCATGCAAAAGGATCATTCACATCCAAAGTGTAATTATATTGGCCTTAAACTGCACCTTGCGTCAGAATCAATCTGTTCGTGTTTTTCAGGCTTCTAAAACATCATCACTCGCCAAAAATGAACCGATTCCTTAGATACTCGCTGTTGAGTGGATCAAATGAATTCCACCCCATCTGTTAGAAACCCTTTTGGAATTAGGACAAGATGACTACTTAATACATATCTACCGTCCGTAAACATCAAAACTGCGATGAGTTTTGTTTTCCGTGACAACAAAATTGCTAACCAAGGGAGCGTCGGGATCAGAGCGAAGCCAATGGAAATTCGTGGTAATGTGCATAGCTTGTTATGGACATTCAGCTTGCAGTGTTCTAGATATGACAACACGAATTAGACAGTACAAAAACCTACAGTGTTTGGAGATTGTAGAGCCTACTGAAAGCATTTGCCTCAATGCAACCGATGCTGACGCCTCTCAGGGACCTGCCAAATGAAAGGAAAAATGCATTCTGGTATTTAAATTTGGAAAGAAATAAGCCGCTGGTCAATTTGCCAGTAAACATTTATTGTTAACCGTTCGGTGAACGTTGACGTTATTTGGTATGAAACGATCTCCGAAGCTATAACTTGCTAAATCCACTGGAATCCGGCTACGGCGTAATTTTAACGTGTTTTTATGGGGTACGTTTGAGTACGTAAAGTAAAGGAATCTCTCTAATTCCCCAAACATTTTGTGGTGGCTCTCTTTTTTTGAGATGACGTCGTTTCTGTATAATTCATTTACATCTGGAAACCAGACAAACAAGATGCTCTTATGTCCTGTGTATATGTACAAGCTGAAAAGCTTTTACACAGTAAAAAGTGTGGGGGCAGTCTATTTTAGCGGCCGGCGTTACGTGCGCAAGCAGTTGCGATGGTCATCGCGCGTACATGAGGGTAAAAGAAGGCGTGTCGCCACATCACGCTTGGGAACAACTCTTGACCGGAAACCGGAGACGTTTGGGGTGGGCTAACCCAAATGGATCAAACTAGTGCAAAGATTAAAACTTCAGCANATGGACATCGCACGTATTTGAGAGTGAAAGTGAGAGTAAAAAAAAGGCACGTGGCCACACCATGCTTGGAACCCGCTCCTGACCTGAAACCGGAGACGTTTGGGGGTGGGCTAACCCAAGTGAATCAAATAAGTGCAGAGATTAAAATTTCAGCACGAACTCCAACTTCCATTTAAGCAACGGCCACCCATGCACTCTACAGGTGTGACTAGTGTAGGGGTGGAGGCACCTCGTTTTTCATTAGAGGCCTATGCCCCATTAACAAAAAAGGGAAAAATCACGTTTTCGTCCGCCATGGTGGTTGTGTTACCTTTTACTTCATGAGAACGAAGTAGTTAAGATCCTGAGGATCCCCTTCCAGAAATTACAATGCTTCCTGTGAAACGTACCCTATCGCGCCAGCGACAAACACCTTTCTTACCTATGAAGCATTATGCACAATCTTTGTTGAACTGTTTATTATGGCATTAAGTTTCCTTTGCATCGTTTAACTAATCGATCATGTTTAATAAGCTCTGCCCCGTGGGATTCTTGAACAAGAAACCAAGTCAGCAGGTCGAGTACTTGGGTCAGGCCCTAATAAACGGGACACGTAATGCAAAAGTCAAATTGAACTCAGTCACATTGAAATCAAACACGGTGTTTTGTTACAAGTCAGAATAATGGGGTTGCACTACTTTTTGGTGATCTGTTTTTAATTACGTTTAGTTCTCAGCCCATTGTTCTGTGTTCAGTATATTTGTAAAGAGATTTCCTGTAATCGATCTCCTTTTGCAGAATTAGCACCCTACTTAAGCTACTTAAGTTAAACAATATTTATATCACACACATGCTATTTTCTCGATTTATCACGAATCTCAAGCAAAATACTTTGCTTTTTATTGACCACACGCCACACTGAAAAGGTCATGACGGTATTTAAAATTCGAGGGAAGGTAATTAGTTTTAGAATCCTTTACAGGATAATGAAGCCTTTTCCAAAAAACCTGTATTTATAGTATTCTTATTAAAATTAAGAAGATAGCAGTCAGAGAACAGCGTTTGCGCCCAGGCAAACATCCATTCTTAGCACTCAGGTATAAAAGGTCAATTTGATTCAAGACGTAAAATCAAATTTTGTGGCACTTATGTTACGTGACGTGATACTTATGTGACTGAGCATGATGTTTAATATTATTTTGTTGAACATCTCTTTTTCTTCTGCAGTTACGTAAGAGGGGCACACGGATTCAAAGAGTAATGTGTTACAGTAGGAAGTTGGGTGAAATGTCTGGATGATGTAATCAGCGGTCCTTGGGCGTGATCTTAAACGGTACATAATTTTTTAGTGACTAAAAACTTTGAGTTTGATTGGGTTTTCTTTTG